TTTTCTTAAGTGATCCCGATTATTTAAGATGTAATTAAATATAGGGGCTTGTCTCTATAGTGAACTTAGAACCCGGGTAAAATAAACCTTATCTAATCCTTATATTAGGTAAGGGAACTTGTTGGCCATACATAAAGGTTTTACAGACCAAACAGATGTCACAAACTTCTTAGTTTAGGTGGTTGAGTCTACTGTCAAGTGGTATGATTATCCTTCGGGATAGTGTATTATTTGTAGTATCGCGCTCAGCCGACCAAACTATTTAATATGTGAAACTCGTTTGGTCACAACTATTTTTAAAATCAAAATGTTACTTTCAAAAATCATATTTATATCAAAATTATTTTCATATTTTTCAAAAATAACAGCCGACAAGCTAATAGCTGAAACAATATTGGTTTTGGCTGGAGTTACCAAATATGAAATGTTTTTTGACACATTTACTATAATGCTATAATTTTGGCAAATGCATCTCTCTCCATTGCTAATGATTAAATTCTTTATGTGAGCTTCGGTGCAAGTATATTGTGTTGGGCTGCTCTATGGCATTGTTTTATCTTTGAGATCAAACTTTTTTCGATTATTACAAGGATATACATTTGCCAATATTAATTAAATGACTTTCTTCTCTCCTTTGGTTTTGGATCTAAGTGCAAAAAAAGTTGGGAACGGTTCCTAATTGGATTGCTTGATCATGATCAGCTCTTTGGATGATCTATGGATATACTGGATAAACATTTCAATAGCTCAGAGAAGTTTGCACTGAGCTCTCAGTTTACCTTACTCATTGGTTGTCATCGTTTGTAGATCCTTGAATATACCATACGTTACATGGAACTTTGGGATGTTGATGTTCTATATAACAGTAAATTGAGAAAGTAAACTGAATTATATTGATGAGTTTTACCGGCATATTGCACACCGTTTTGCAATTAAACTGAATGTCCACAATTGGCCCACTAGACTATCATAGTTGTGATTACATTTTATCTTTATTCCTACTAAGTAATGTACAAGAGTTTATTAAGTGATGGAGTGTTTATACGTAACAATGATCATTAACCTTCGGTGAAGGCACACATTCGAGCCCTAACGCCAACAACCAACGCCGAACGCAGCCGAGGGAGGCCGATCCGGCTAATGAAGAAAAACGGAACCGCGAGACGCTGCGTTCAGAACGCCGCCGAACGAACGCGCGAAACAGCCGAACGAACGCGAACGAACGCGCGAAACAAACGCGTTGGCGGCGTTCTGAAAATGCCACCGTTCTGAAAAAGCTGTGCCAAACAGGGCCTCATTTTCAACTGGCCAGAATTGATACATGTCCGTATATAATGTCAGTCATACAAAAACAATTAATTGTGATTACATATAATAATAATAATCTTTAATTAATTATAATTTTTAATTTAACTCATTAAATTAGTTAATAAAAATAATTAGTTTAATTAATAATTAATGGATAAATGATTTTAAAAGATAAAGCAATTTTAAATGAATTTAGATTACTTAATAATTTTTTTTTCTATTTAGCTACTCAGCACACCCGTGAAGTAGGTGTTATTCAAATGAACCTCTTGCCGCTATGAGGTTTAAACTAGGGTTTGATGCCTTCATTACTTCGGTCACGCGAGACAGGTATCAGATAATAGGAGAGAGGGAGAGAGAGGGAGAGAGCATGAGAACAAAGAGCGTGAGGGAGGGAAGGCGAGGCAAGCCCGAAGGGAGAGAGATTGAATATCACTTTCTTCAGTTGAGTGTACGAGATAGTGAGTGAGAGCTAGGGAGAAAAGAAGAAGGCACGAGCAGGGAGGGAGATCGAGCTGGCGAGCAAAGCACGATATTTCTGCACCGTGAGACTCAAATGAGTGTTTGTGAGTCTCGTTCTATGGGAGCCACCAACATGGTTTTTTTATATTCAGGCACGAAATCCGAACCCCGACCTTAGAGCTTCAAATTAATTTTCTTTTTCTTATGTTTGAGAGGTTATTTTTAGCTTAAGGGTTGAAATCCAGAAACCTTAAGATAATTTTTTTAAAGTTTTGTTAAAATTATGTTAGGGAGGGTTTTGTTAGGTAGTAAATTATCATCTTAAATATTTAGTCGAAATTTTATGACTTGGATTTTTTAAATCATTATGTGAATACTAGGGCCTCTCCTGGAAGTGACACACCATATTGGCTCGTATAGTGAAAAATGTGCAAGGGCCGCTGCCCCTACGCCCTGGTGTGGCGTTAAATTAACAAGTGTTTCCACATAACCTGAGAAAGGTTTGACTTTGGTTGTGTGGTGCATGTTATGTGGTAATGCTTGCACATTTAACGATATATACAGCGTTGGAGTAGCGGTTCTTGTACATTTTTCAATGTATTCAGACAATATAGTGCGCCATTTCTAGGGGGCTCCCTAATATTTAAATAATGGATTAAATGATTTCTATTAGAATTTTATTGTTACAAATCTTGCTAATGAGCTACCGTTAACAAGCATTCAAACATATTAATGCTAATGAGCTACAAGTAAAACATGCATTCTCTTTATAATTTTTTTTCCTTGCAATCTCCTCATTATCATATACATTATATTCTGCATCAACTATCCTATATCAAACATCAAATATATCAAAGAATAAGTTATACAGTCCATCAAATACTTTAGAATTATTTAATTTAATATTTTTTATCACAATATTTTAAATATATGAAAAAGGGGGTCATATTAATCCTAATACAAGTTTAGGTCAATTTAGGTCAATCTAATTGGTTCTCCTAATTGGTTGTATAATACTTAGTATTTGTTTGTGATATAATGAATTATGTTTTGAATGAAAATTAATTCAATTTTATTGATCCTGAAAAAATTAATGATTAATCAATAAGTACATACCCAAGTTTTTCGTATTTAGAATGTTTTTTTTTAGATTACAAAAACCATGCATTTCAAATTTGATGCTGAAATTCTTGCTAAAACCACCATCATACACTCAAGTTTCATATATGGTGCTGTTTCTTGACTTTAAAGATGCATGATTCCGGTTTTCTGTTAAAACTCTTAGTAAATCAACAAGTCATTACTAAGCACTTAATAATTTTTTGTGTTTCTTTCATTACGTGCTCCGAACATTTTATTAAAATTTCTAAAAAGATCACTAGTAAGAATCTATGTAGCTCAACTTGATGTTTTTATCCGCGAATAATAATATTTAAATTTGTGATATAATTGCACACCTAAACATTTAGTATTTTCTATGCTTCTTTTCATTATAAAGTTATGTACTTCATATTTGATGTTTAGATTCTTAATAAAATTAGCAAACAAAAATATATGTAATATTTATGGGATTCTCTTAGCAGCAAATTGTTTTATACCTCAATTATTAGACTTTTTCATTAAATCATACTTTTCAGTTAAGTTTAAATTTGTTAATTTATTAATTAAAATTTTAAATGCTAGCATTTCTTGGGTAAGCTTTTAAGCAGGTTCTAATCTTTATTTGATTTACGCTTAGAGAATTTAATAGTTTTATTGTATTAAGCTTTGTTTGCCAATTATTTTGCTTATTTGCCAATTATCTGAGCTTTGTTTGCCAATTTAATAGTTTTATTGTATTATAATATATTTCTATTAGGTTAGATTTGGTTTAGAGCTATTTTATGAGTAAACTTAGCTGGGGCAATAGATTTGAGCATTGGTTGCCAATTATCTTGCTTATGCTAACTAAATTTATTCATGTTTGCAACTTTTTATAGGGGCAATTACATACAGTGCACCTTCGAACATTGCTATTTACAAATCTAGCACCATCTTTCATTCGTTTTTCAATTAAACTTTTTAAATAAAGAACTTAAATCATGTGAGAAAAATCTTTAAGAAAATAATTTGATGTATATTTTCACCACTATTGCAATTGTACAACTCATTTTGAGCATCCGGATTTATAATTTTGAATTAGAACTTGGAAATATTTCCATAAGCAATACTCAAGAAATATATATAACTTCATAAGTATAAATGCCATTTTTACTGATTAACAATACTATTCAAAATCTATGCAAATTTTCAAATTTTTAGCTTTAAAAATATTTCTATATAAAAAAACACGTTTCCTTTTAAAATTTAAATATAAGTGGCGTTTTCATGCAATTTTAAAGATTTTTTTGCGTTATGCATACAAATATGAATTTTCAGAATACACAATTTTGAGCTATAAAAATTATGACTTAAAAGCTTTTGAAATTATTATTATTATTATTATTATTTTGATATACATTATTATTATTATTATTATATATTTTTATTGTATATCATAATAATAATAATAATAATAATAATTATAATTATATATATTTTTTATGTATATATCTGTATATGTACTATTAATAATATTAATGAGTTAGGTGAAAACTTAAATTTTATTTTATATTTTAAAAAAAATCATTAGCATTTCTATAATTATTCATTCATATTATGCTTGTCCAAAGGTTTTTAGATTCTCAAATACAAGTTCATAGCTCTCATGTAAAAATTCTGCTCTTGTCCGGTATATGCTTAAAAAATTGCTCTGCATAAGTTTCCCAACAATAAATATTTTAAGAAATTTTGTTAAATTTTTGAAGTATAGAAGGAACATGATCTACTGTAACTTTAACAAATAATCTTTGATGGGATGTGCGTCAAAATATGCCAACCAGTAGAACCATGACAGTGGAGAGAAAAATTTATCGAGGGAGGAAAGTATTGGGCTTCCTTTGGTGTTACACATATAGATGAAGAACAGTGATGTCCACCATTATCCGGGGTTGTTTACCTTTGGCAATAATGGTTAGGAAATTCTTTCTTATGATAGCTGTTATGTCAATTTTATCACAAACTATAGTTGGATTCCTTTTTTTTAATTTTTTTCTAACTTTCATATTAGTGCTGTCAGTTTCAAGTAAATCATATATCACCCATAGATTACTTACTTTACATGACCTTATTTTACTGATTACATATTTCAGGCATATGTCGGCAGCTACGAGGCGAGTGGCCTTGGTGATTTATATGATAGAAAAACGGGACATTTAAATGTTGTCCATATTGAATTCCTTAAACATTGGGACCGCTTAATTGATCTGGAAGCAAAAACATGCCAGGTCTGTTTCTTTTGCTAGCTGAGATGGTTTTTTTTTTGCATGCAATATGTCATGTTCTGAGATGAACTGACCATGCAGATTTCAGGTAGCTGGCAAAGAAATATTTCGAGCTCAACACCTAAGAGAAAACAGCTCAAGTTGTCTATCCTCTCTAGTTTTAGATGTTACAAATGGATTTTCTGAAGATGGGTCTCCTCACAATGGCCGATTTGTATATCATTTCGTACACCAGAGGACATCTCAACATAATCATGAAATGTTTAACTTGGATATCAAGCAAGCTTCAGAACCACAAGCTGACAGTCTGGTCTGCTCCCTCAGATGCGGGGACTTTGTGGTGTGAAACTGGTCTTTCTATTACCATACTTCATTTTTTTGTAGCATAGATTATCATCTTATAATTTTATAAATGCTCCTATCTCTAAAAAAAAAAAACTTTTTCTAGAAGAAAATAACCACGGCACACTAACCAATGCATGGGAATATGGCTTGTTAGCAGATGAGTGCTTGGTTTGGATTGTATCAATTCAAACTTTATTTTTCTGGCTTGTGCTTTTGTAGTTGAACTCAATGAGCTATCTGGATGTAACTTTTTTTTTTGAAGAGGCAACTTAAATATTGCTTTAATTGGATTTCCTTAATTCCATATACTTTGATACAATCACAGGCGCACATATCACATATTTTCACATTAACAGCCACTCTGACAAGTGTTTGATTGTTTTTATTTGCTTTTTTTCTGCGCGAGTCAAAAGCAGCCTCATATATATTTTTTCTATGTTTTCACAACTCTCATTCCAAAGTATCAACCAATGCATAGCTTCTAAATGCTCTATATCTTCTAGGAAATGAAAGTTCTTGATTGAAAACTTTTTTCCCCCTGTAAACCAGAATGAACAATTTACGTTCATGCATCCTTCTTCTATAATAATGCATTGTTATTATTGAGATTGGGAAAAGAATTGTTTGTCTTTATTCTCAGTACATTTGTTGTCTTTTTATAAGCAAATACAAGCAACAGAATGAGTGATAAGTAATATTTTGTGTATATTTGTAATTTTGAGAATATATTGCATACTACTGAAAATTTGTGATAGAAACACTCCACCATTGATTTTCTAATCTGTTATAATGACACTCCTCCTTAAGGTATGTTTCATATATTTTGAAAATTTAGCTTGCCGCAAAGACTAGTGAGTCTAAATGCTCAGTCTTTGTAAATATATCTACTATTTTTTTTTTCCATTAGTCATGATGAGGGATGATCATCTTTAATAGAATGGTTATCTGATAAAATGACATTCTATTTTAAATTGCTTTTTTCCTTCATGAAATTAAGGTTGTTTGTAATATGGATGAAGGATTAAGTATCATACTCAAGAACCGTAGGCTGCATAATAAGAACTTCAAACTCATTGATAAGATTTTTTTTTGAATTTTTATTCACATCATTTCAAAAGTAGAATTCACCATTGATTTGTTTTTGACTTAGACACAATCTACCGACAACAAATGCCTTTTTATTTCATGAATTGAGATTTCCCTTAAACCTTAATATCTGGAAGCAGACTTCTGATCTTCAACAATCCAACTTAGTTAGCATCTTAGCAAGCTTTAATTTGTAGGTCTATCTTTTTGGATTTTTCTAGTGCTGACTTATGTTACCTATACACTCCCCACCTCCCACGTCTTTCTCTTTGCAACCAGCTGACAGACTTAATTTTATATGAGAGAGAATATTACTAACATCCCACTTTCGTTTTGTAGTTTCTTAAAACATGATTGTTAAAATAATGAAAGGATCAAGGCTGTTAAGCTTCCATATGAGAGCCTCTTTGTCAAAGACCTGCTGTTTTTTATACTTGATGGTATTTGTTGGTTCTGGTGCGTGGACTTTCAGTTGAAGTTTATATTAGGATCAACTAGGAAATGGAAAGCTATACATTGTAAGAAATAGTTATTATCATTGAGTTTGTTAGTAGTGCCATTATTTCAGGAGAAATTTCTGTCAAAGAGAGGAGCTATGGAAGTTATTAAGAAACACTAGACAACAATAGAAGAGGGGAAACATCATTGAGTTATTTATTTATGGATCAAGAGGGAGGAAATGAGTAGAAGCAACTTGTGAGGGGCATGATAGAGAAGTTTATTTCCAACTTCCGGCTCTACAGAGGTGTGGTAGATTTGGGCATGTGTTTGTGATTGACATGACTGACATGATGTGATAGACACTTCTAGTGACCGTGACAACCGAGCAGACATTTAGTGCTTAAGAGAGGTTGAGTTGTGAGTGTGTACATGAGGTTGAGCAAGCATAAGAGAAGTCTTGGCAAGTGGCCTGCACATGTGCTATCAGGGCGGGTAATGTCGACAAAGGATCCAGTAGTGTCAGGGCTGGTGTTGATAAAGAGTACGAAGAATGTGTGTGTGTGAGAGAGAGAGAATATAACTTAATAATGACAAATTAGATAAACTAGTATGATAATAGTTACATATATATATATATATATATATATA